CATCTTCTCTTACTACTCTACCTCCACTTCCGCCTATATCATCTCACCTTAACGATATACTCATAATTTAATCCTTTGTTTTTCTCTCTTCAAATTTCTGAGGTTTTTTTTAGATTAATTATGTAAAAAAAAAAGTCTTTAGTTAGAGGAGAATAATTAGTTATGATGGAGCAGAGTTATTGTGACGTTTTACCTGGCCTTATTGTGGTGTTTTACCTAGCCTTATTGTGGCGTTTTACCTGGCCTTATTGTGGTGTTTTACCTAGCCTTATTGTGGCGTTTTACCTGGCCTTTATTGTGGCGTTTCATTTAGCCTTTATTGTGGCATTTGTCTTCATTAAGCTTCATAACTGTCTGCCTTGGTGGGCCCTAATTACGTCACCTGAGGCCCCTGAGACAGACAGACACACACACACACACACACACACACACACACACACACACACACACACACAGTGTCTCTCTCTTTCTCTCTCTATCTCTCTCTCTACCCGTATTTCAAACAGTTTGGTTAGGTTAGGTTAGGTTAGGTTAGGTTGGGGTGATTAAGGGACAATCTTCAGGTGACGTCAATATTTCCCATCAAAACATCTTGAGAAATGTATCTCCAGTATTTCTCAATCTTTCTCTCCCTAAGACAGAGAACATACCAGAAGGAAATTTAAGGAGGGAAACTTTCGATACAAAATACGACGAATTAAGTATCATTGGGCCAAGTTACCTGTCCCTTTAGCTCGGACTTTCATGACCCTTATGGATAGTGTAGTTTAAGATCAAAATAAATCCTTCCTTCCACTAGTTAGTATGCCAGGTATGTGTGTCCTCATTCTCACCACACGAGATGAGGTGACCGCCGTTAACTACCTCATTCCCTCGTTAATCGCACACCAGAATCATTATTAGTAATGCTAATTTTTTTATGTGTATAGGAAATAAATGAAAATAATGTTAAGTATCGGTTATTAATCTTAATTTATCTCACTTTCCAGACAATGTAATGGATAAAATCGCCCTCATAGCAACCAAACAAGTGACTAACCCTGTGTTGACCTGACCTGACCTGCTTCTCTCCATGACCTTTGAAGAAAAAAAATCCAACATGGTTCTCACAAATACCTGTCTAACCCTACATGACCCGGTAGACGATGGTAGAGTGTCCTTCGTCAGATAACTTCCTGCCGGGTCCTCTCATCTCCCCTTCAGATAGCTTCAGTTACTGGTAAGAGGAATGAGTGTTTGGATGCCTTTAGTGAATTGATTTGATAATTGTATTTACCCGATTAGAAAATTTGATTAAGTCATCGTACTAAAGGGGTTGGCAGAATGTGTGTGTGTGTGTGTGTGTGTGTGTGTGTGTTGATTCATTAATATTCCCCACGTCCCGGATAGTCTGCTGGAGAGAGTGGATAGGGGATAGGTAGAGTCTCTCCTATAATCTTCCTTATCTAACTCATCTCCTCCTCCTCTTCTCCCTATCCTCATCCTCTTCTTCTTTCTCCTTCTAATCCACTTTCTACCCCTCCTCCTTCCATAGCTTTATTCCCTCTCTTCCTCCTTCTCCTCCTCCCAATTCCCTCTCGTCAGGAACAGAAGAAGGCGAGGAAGACTCCAAGACGGAATTATTTACTCCAGAAAGCCTTTGATCACCAGGGTAGGAGGAGAGGAGGAAGGGGAGGAGGGAAGGAGGAGGACAGGGGAGGGGGAGGAACGCCAAGTTGGAGGTGTGAGGGTCGAGGGAATTTTAAAGGCGGTGATAATGATAGTTAGGAGGAGGAGGAGAGGAGAGATGAGGAGGAGGGAGGAGGAAGAGAAAGATGGAAGAGGAGGAGGAGGATAGAAGAGAAGGAATCAAGGAGGAGGCAATAGTCACTTGATGCCTCTCTCTCTCTCTCTCTCTCTCTCTCTCTCTCTCTCTCTCTCGTAAAAGTTATTATTTTATATATTAACTTTATCTTTCACTGATATATAATTCGTTATACAAATCCTTCCTTAATTTTTTATTGTCAGGAATTTTTGGGGTGAATACAATGTTGAATTTTTTTGCCTTTTTTTATATCACTTTAATAACTATATAAAGGTTTATTTGTTTTTATAGGAAGTATAAATTATAAATTGAGTCAAGATAAGAAACCATGAGGCATGTTCTCTGGTCTGTTTAGCACTGAGATCTCTGGGGAGGAACACACAAGGAAGTCTTCAGGCTGTCGCAAGTTCACACAACACTTAGGTCTGTCTGTACCTTAAGAGCTTACACACAATCTCTCGCCCTGTTGTGAGCCAAGGGTTATTGACCGCACACACACACACACACACACACACACACACACACACACACACACACACACACACACACACACACACAGGCAGTGAAGGGAAGAACTTAAACATGGATGATGAACGCCTTTGTTGTGTGTAAGCCGACCTGCAGTGTTTGGGAGGGAAGACCTCTTGGTGGTTATGTACAGAGAGAGAGAGAGAGAGAGTGAGAGGGCAGAGGGAGGGTAGAGATGGAAAGTGAGGGAGAGCAGAGAGGGGTACTGAGGCATAAACGGAGAGAGAGAGAGAGAGAGAGAGTATTTGGCCTCTTACAAGACTGCTGAAAGAGACAGTCTCATCACGGGATTGAGAACTTTTAAAAGAGACGTCGGCAGGTATTTGAAATTTTCCCCAAATGAACTTGAATACACCTGAGGAAATGAAAACACACGCACACAGTGGGAGGAGGAGGACAGACAATGTGGGGGAAGGAGGAGATACTGTGGGAGGAAGGGAGGAGAGATACTGTGGGGGGAAGGGAGGAGAGACACTGTGGGGGGAAGGGAGGAGAGATACTGTGGGAGGAGAGACAGGAAGGAGACTCATGGTATACAGGACGCAGGGTGGGGGTAAATAATGGGCCAGTCCGTCCTGTGGAAAAATACAAATAGCAACAATATAGAAGAGAAAGACGGAGAGAGAGAGGAAGTAATTCAACTGTGACGGCAGAATTTATCTTACAGGTTCAGCAGCTGACAAAATACTGTGTTGAGGTACTTACTTGTTTGTCTGTCTGTGTCTGTCTGTCTGTGTCTGTCTGTTTGTGTCTGTCTGTCTGTCTGTCTGTTTGTTTGTCTGTCTGTCTGTCTGCCTCTCTCTCTGTCTTATTTACTTTTGTCTGTCACTTTATTGGGAACATTTTTTCGACAGATAATTAAGTCCCGTGTATTTTTTTTTTTGTCATAAGTAAAGTTGTATTACGAAGTTGAAAATCTTGTCCTGTTATTTTTCCAAAGTTGATACATCGTTTAGATTTACTTGTGGCTGTCCAACAATAGATATATAGGCACAGTAAATGTTGGTGGGTGGCTCTGTGGCTCTCCCGTGTGGCTCTCAACACTAGCTTCCTCCCCCTCAAGGGTTCGACCCCCCCCCTCCCCCTCCCACCACCACACACACAATATATTCTGTATATTCCACTAAATTAACAGTTTCTATCAGTATGTCAGTTGGTATCGTGTGTATATTATCAGTAGAGTGGGTGGCCATTTGTGTGTATGTATGTATGTATGTATGTTGTTTGTATGTATGTATGTATGTATGTATGTATGTGTGTATGTATGTATGTATGTATGTATGTATGTATGTATGTCAAGGGTTATGGTCGTGGTGAAGGTCAAAAAAGTGTTACCAGTTCAATTCTGTAAGTGACCACATGTTTTTATTTTGTTTTCTTCTTCGTCTTCTTTCCCTCCTCCTACTTCTCCTCCTTTATCATATTTCCCCCTCCTCTGCTTCTTCCTTCTTCTCCTCCTTCACCCACTTCCTCATCTCCTTCCCTCATACAATAAATACTTACTCATCACTTCCTCATTTCTGGACCAATCAGATTCCAACTTACCTTCTGGACCAATCAGATTCCAACTTACCTTCTGGACCAATCAGATTCCAACTTACCTTCTAGACCAATCAGCTTCCAACTTACCTTCCGCACCAATCAGCTTCCAAATTACCTTCTGGACCAATCAGCTTCCGACTTACTAACACTGAACCATAACCCAATACTCATAAACAACACCTTGACCTCATTTCAGGGTATTATAAGGTCAAAGGTCAAATTCTCCCCCCAAAATGAACGAAAATTTTTTACCCATTCTTTCATATTAGGGAAAAAATGTTGCAGAAGTTAAGAGTTTTTTCTTTTCATTTTTTTTCTTTTTTTTTTCTTTATCGTAATTTTTTTCTTTATTTATCAAGTTTATTGTTTTTTTTTGTTTTTTTTTATTACAGAATCGATTTGGGTCAATTTCTGGTGGATTAGAGTGAGATCATAGTGAGATTAGAGTGAGATTAGAGTGAGATTATAGTGAGATTATAGTGAGAATATAGTGAAATTATAGTGAGATTATAGTGAGATTATACTGAGATTATAGATGTTAAAACCCGTAGTAGTTAAGTGTCTAATGATAGGGAATTATACAACGAGTGAATTAGAGAGACTATTATAGGTTTATATTAAGTAAACCCTGGTGACATTATGTTATTAAAGGTGTGTGTGTGTGTGTGTGTGTGTGTGTGTGTGTGTGTGTGTGTGACCGTAACATTACAATTCGATGGTTTAAGCTATCATGGGTTAATTCAGTGGTTTAAAAACTATATCATGGTATATAGGTTAAGGGTTTATGCTATCATGGGTAAAAACAAGGGTTGAGCTAATAAATAACCCCTCCCACCTCCCCACCCTCCCCAACCCCCCCCCCCCGGCCAGGTCCCTCTAGCGATTCACCCGTGTTCACCTGTGATACATTAGTGTGAGGTAACATGATAGGTGTGTGTCTTGGTGGCTAAGGTGTGAGGTGTGTTGACGGTGAAGAAGGGGAGGAAGGGTGAGAAAGAGGAGAAAATAGAGAGGGGGTGATATAGGGAGGAGAGAAACAGAGGAGGGTGAGTAAAGAGAGAGATGAGAAGAGACAGCAGGGCAGCAGGAGAGAGGCAGCAGGGTAGAGGCAGCAGAAAGCAGCAGAGGCAGCAGGGTAGCAGCAGGTGGGAGGCAGCCAGGGTGGGCAGCAGAAAAGCAGCAGGGTGAGGGCAGCAGGAGCAGGCAGCAGGGGTAGAGGGCAGCAGGGTGGGGCAGCAGGTGGGAGCAGCAGGAGTAGAGTGGGGCAGCAGGCAGCAGGGTGAGGCAGCAGGGTGGGGGCAGCAGGGGTGAGGCAGCCAGCAGGGGTGGGGAGACAGCAGGGGTAGAGTGAGGCAGCAGAACAGCAGGGGTTAGAGCAGGCAGCAGGGGTGGGGAGCAGCAGAGGCAGCCAGCAGGAGTGGGAGGCAGCAGGGTGTGGGGCAGCCAGGGGGGGAGACAGCAGGGAGCTGGGGGGCAGCAGGGTGGGGGCAGCAGAAAGGTGCAGCAGAAAGAGGCAGCAGGGTGGGCAGGGTAGAGGCAGCAGGGTAGAGGCAGCAGGGTAGAACAGCAGGGTAGGGCAGCAGGGAGTGGGGAGGACAGCAGGGTGGGGGCAGCAGAGAGGCATAGCAGGGGTTAGCAGCCAGAGGGTGGGGGCAGCAGAGGAAACAGCCTAGAGACAGCAGGGTAGACAGCAGGGGGTGCAGCAGACAGCAGGGTGTCAGTGGTGCAGAGGCAGCAGGGTGTTTTCAATACTAGGGCCCAGCAACTCTGCCTCACGAGACTCAATTACCCTTTTTCTGTGGGCCCCCTCCCTCCTCCCTCCCTACCTTTCTCCTTCTTCCTTCCTCTCTCCTTCCTCCCTCCTTCCCTACCTTTCTCCCCTCCTCCCTCCTTCCCTCCTCCTTCCCTCCCTCCTTCCCTCCCTCCTTCCCTACCTTTCTCCCTCCTCCCTCCCTCCCTCCTCCTTCCCTCTCCCTCCTTCCCCTACCTTTCTCCCTCCCTCCCCTCCCTCCCCTCCCTCCTCCTCCTCCTCCCTCCCTCCCTCCCCTCCCTCCATCCCTCCCTCCCTCCCTCCTTCCCCTCCTTCCCTCCCCCCCCTACCTCCCTACAAGCTCTGTGTTAAGTACTAGTCCTGATTAGCATTACGCTGTTACATGTAATAGTTTTACCTCCCTAATTGGTCATAATTATTAAGAGTTTTAGACACAACTTTTACAGGAATGATTAGTATACCCGTGTTAGGTTAAATTTAATTCAGTGTGACATTAATCCAAGATTATTAATTCCGTGTTACATTAAACCAAAGATTATTAAATCCGTGTTACATTAAAGTAAAGCTTATACTT